AAAGCCATTGTCCAGAGCAAAAACTTCACTTTAGGACTGAATGAGCTCCAAATCTGCCTAGTCGGAAAGTTTTCCTGACCTGAACTTATCAACTTACTGAACATAGACTTWACAGAAARCMTGCCATCAGCTTCCCATTTCCATCTCCAAGCATCCTCCATGTTTGGGTCAATCCTCTGGTTCTGGAGCAGGCCCAACAGAATTGCATACTCCTTAATTTCCCAGTCAAAGAGGCGCTTCCTACAAGTTAGGTTCCAACTGAAAGAGTTAGCATCCACATTGAAATTCTCAGCCACCAAGGAGTCCTGATTTACAGAAATTTGATACAAGAGAGGAAAGGCATCTTTCAGACACACTTCAGAACACCAAGAGTCTTTCCAAAAGTTGATTCTTTCCCCATTTCCCAAGTTGTAACCGATTYCTTCCTCAAATAAACTAGCGTTCTTCATTATACCTGTCCAAATGGAACTTATCCCTCTTGAAATAGGAGAATTGGATCTCCAATCACCCCAGTCCACCCCATATTTGTCCACAATCAGCTTTCTCCACCAAGCATTTCTTTCATTTGCAAATCTCCAAAGCCATTTAAACAGGTTCAATAAATATGCCCCTATCATCATTTCATTGCACAAGGTTCAATAAATATGCAAGCCATACAACCTATACAGACATGCAATTATGCATGTGCTGCACATAGTATCTACTGTACCTGGACCCTTAATTCTTATTACAAAGTAATCCTGTCATTCTGACATCATGACATGGCATAGCCAGTATATGAATATGATGAAACAAGGATTTTATATGGGATATTTTATTCATAAAAAAGGATTTTATATGGGATACTTGTTATCTCCACCAAATCTATACTTATTTTTTTCTGTAACAAGCCGTCATAGATTGATACATGCAACGAGTTGTGATAGATTGCTGCAATAATAAAATCCTAGGCTGACAAGCAAGAGAATGTAGGTCCAAGTATGGAGCAATGTTTAAAAAGGCATGGGAAGCATACACTTGGAGGTGTTCCATCAGGCGAGGCGCTTCCAAAACACGTGGAGACACATACAAGAAGCGTCTAGGCATATGAGGCGTACGCCTCTGTAGAGAGCTGTGTACAGAGATATACGCTTCTATCACGCCTTATACGAGAGAGGCATACACCTCGCATGTGTGGCGTTTTAGAACAGTTCATTGTTTTGTTTATTTTAGTGGAGCCATGATCTTATCATGGTTCCCATTTTATTATATCATTGATTCAGTGTAAAATGGGGGAAAAAGCCCCCATTGGTTCATTTTGCAAATGAACAAAAATTAGGGCTCAAGTGAACCAGTGAAGCTGTGAACTGTGAACCTGCTGAAGTTTCTCTTTGACCAACCTCTCAAATCTTCAAGCTGCAATATCAGGTATGGGGTATTTTTATTTTTCTCTTCTTCTTCTTCTTCTTCTTCTTCTTCTTCTTCTTCTTCTTCTTCTTCTTCTTCTTCTTACTCTGCAATGTAGGGTATGGGGTATTTTTGTTTTTCTTTTATTTCTTTCTTCTTCTGCAACATCAGGTATGGGGTATTTTTATTTTTCTTTTCTTTCCTTTCTTTCTTTTCTTTCTTCTTCTTCTTCCCTTCTTTTTCTTTTGAGTAGCTCTGTACAGAACTACATAAAAAAAAAACACCACACAGCTCTGTTCAGTCTCACACTGTTTTTTTCTTTTTCTTTTTTTTTTCAGAAGATCTTAAGAGGACCACAGAGGCCAAGAAGCTGCACTGCTGGCTACAGCTTCAGCCTTCATCTTCAACTCTTCAAGTAATTTCTATCTTCTCTTCCTTTGATAAATTATTTCTTGATTGTGCTTGCCTCATTTGTAATTTCTGAACCTTAGACATGTTAATTTAGTCTATTGACTCTATTCTATTACTTATGCAGATTGTAAAAATTAAAATAATCTAGCAACAACTCTATATTTATTTTTTATTTGTTTTTGTTATATATCAATTAATTAAATATCTGAATTTCTTATTTTGAAGATGTGATTTGTGAATTACTTGGAGTTTTGTTTAGAACTCAAGTATTGAGAATATTGACAATTTGACAATTGAAATTAAGTCATTTAAGTCTTATGTATATTTTTTATGTTTAAAATGTCTATTTCTTTATTAATATACCCACTATAATTATAAAAAATGCATGCTCAAGGCTTACGCCTCACGCCTCCAGGTAGTGGACCACCTCGTGTCACGCCTCCGCATTTTAAAACATTGGTATAGAGTGACCACTTTGAGCCAATGTTGCAAGACTTGGACCAGACCGGATGGTCAAACTGTTAAACCTGAAAACTAGAAGCCATTCCAGCTTTTCATTCCCCAATCCCCCAATTTTTCAAATTTCTGAAAAACCAGCCAAACTGTCAAAACTGACAAGAACTGTTCAAAACTTGCCAGGTTATAACGACCCACCCAGGTCACTAAATCACCACAAACTTCAAAATGAGTAAATGGCAATAAATTGATGTCAACCTGTGACCCCTTTGTTATGTGTTAACATGCTACCTTTAATCTATCATGTTATTTGTGTTAATTTATGTCTCCCTAATATTTATATTGATTAAATATGCATATACTTTTGGAAAAAATGTGAATTGGAAGACTTGAACCCTAGTCTCTTGTTATCAAAAGTCAAGAAACAAAACCATCTAGCCACTACTTACACATATGCTATGAAATGCAAAATATATTATATATTATTTATATGGCTCGCGGTCAAACCATTTAACCCATGACCTGGCAGACATTCCAATTTTGTATCAAGTCCACATCTTGAAACTTTGCTTTGAGAAAAAAAATGACAAAGCTTAGGTCCATATCCCTCCCAAAACCTTTTTTTTTATAAAGGAGAATAGTTTTATTAATTCAAATAACAACAATACCTTTTACCTTCCCAAAACCTTTTACTCTCCCAAAAATGTTCAAATCTATTTATACACCTACTGGCACAGCCATCTTACCCAAGTCCCCATATCCCAAGATTTTTGGCTTAAATAGTTCAATATAAATTCACATCCATACCAATAAACACATTGGTCATGGTAAAATAATTAAAACCTAAAGGATCTTGCCTTCAAAGCCATATCATCAATCCCTTTACTTGTTAGCACAACATTGGCTCCTGCTTTCAGAAGCTTTTCAATACGCTCTTTTGTCATGTCAGTCTCTCTGCAAAGATAGAAGAACAATTAGAGCTGCACTGCAGAGAACTATACACATCATTGCTTTCTTTGATAGGAGGGACATTTCAAAGAATTCACAAAACAATGAATGAGTTTGCTTCAAATTAAACAGCAAGGAAAACATTGCTTCATATAAAACAGTGATATTCATAAAATAGTAGAAACTGTGATTCTATATAGCACCAAGAGAAAGATGAAACAGACATGAACAGCTCAACACAGATAAAACCTAGAACTCCTTTTATATTGATAACAAGTTTGAACATCTAGAATTGATCCCCAATGTATATCTGAACCCAACTGCTAAGGCCTCAGTCAGGGTTCTGGACATGTTATTCACCTCGTTTGGGACAGCTCAACTTTTGGGCTTATGATAATTATGATAACAAATCGAGATCTGGTCAGAGTTATTTAAAAAGGAATATGTATATATATATACATATATGCTAATCACATTGACAAGATCCTTACTATCAGATATACTACCCAAACTCCATGTCTCAAACCTTCATATGATGACCATTGTTTAAGTTGTAAGTTATATTATTATTTTTTTTTTGATGAATGAATGGTATTTTATTAAATAGAGATAGAAATAGTACAAGCATGAAGCACCCTAAGAGGAGGCACAAGGTGTTACCTCCCCTTAAAGGTGGTTCCAAACCCAACTCTTTTCAGATTGCAGTAACAAATTAGCCAAAAACAGAGAATCCCTTGAAGCCCCTTGTTTAGCTAAAGAATCTTCCAAAGCATTTGCCAATCTACTAACCCACTGAAAGCTAACTGACATGGTTCCCGTAAGCCATTTGACTTTTTTGATGATGTCCCTATATCCCACAAACAACAGTTTCTGGGTCCGACATCCATCCCACTATCACCTTAGAGTCTCCTTCAACTATCAAATTAGTCACTCCAAGTTGGTTGGAAATCTGTAGTCCTTGTACCACAGCTAATATCTCAGCCCTTGTAGAGTCTCCATAACCCACTGGACCTGAGAATAAGGACAGAATGTTGCCATCCTTATTCCTCAAGATCCCTCCTATACCCGTAGGTCCTGGATTGCCTTGACTGCTCCCATCAAAGCTCAACATTACAACTCCTTCCAGAGGGGGTAACCAACTTGCTTGTGAATAAAATAGAGAATGCAATGAGAGACAAGTGAAACCAATAAAAGAGGATTATCTTTCATGTCCCCAAATGTAATGATCCAAAAAAATTCAGGAAAATGAAATAACCCAAAAAAACAAAAACTCCTACAAAGTATAGCATTCATTCACCCATCTGGCACCCTTTGGAACTCCTAAAAAAGATGATAGCTACAGTCCTCTTCAAATTTTGTTGTAATCTCCCTCTCCTTTGAGAGAATACAATTCTAATTACCACTCCAACAACTGAGCAGGTCCCATTTGCCAACACTCCAAAGCTGAGGAGTCAAGCATGCAAGGCATTCAAGTTGCTTTTTTCTTTGGTGATAAGAAAGCAGTTGTGCATAAACTTGACAGAATTTTCATTTTTGGCTAAGCACCTCCATCATCACTGGCATGGATCTCTCCCCTAACGAGTCCAATCTTTGTAAACCAAGTTGTCAACAACCTCCACCCTCTGTCAGCCATTATATATCTAATCCAGTTCACCACAATCAGATAAATAAGGTTGTACTGGAAGTAGTATTGCCATTGGAATATCAAACAATGGCATGAGCTGCTGAACCCAACTTCACAGAAGAACAGATCAACACCAGCATCCTCCCCCATTTCTGCAACACTGTCATCATTGTCAAGGGCACAAAAAATATAATGGTCTACAAATTCTGAAAACAATAATATAATAATGCTTTGACCAGAGGACATAAAATCTCCAAAAAGTCCTCAACTAAGCATTTATAGGTAGCAATCTTTGACTTTCTGCTTAATTGTTTATGATGTGCATATTAGGTATGACCAAATAGCGGGGTCAACAGTGAAATTCTGGGAAGATCTTTGGTGGAGCAAAAAGCCTTTAAGACAAGTCTAACCTAGACATTTTGCTTTGTCATTACAAAAATAAACCTATATCAGATTTGATAATTTTATCCCAATCACCTACGTCTACTTATTCCTCCTCCTTTTCCTCTTTCTTCTTCCTCTTCCTTGTCCTCCCCCATCTTGAGGAGGCTTACGCCACCTTGTGCTGCGCCTCTTGTGTTCTGACCTATGCCTCATGCCTCTTAAGTATTGGAACGCCTTGTGCCATGCCTCCACACTTTAAAACATTGTTTTAAACTGTCAGAAAGAATTTTGAGCTGGCTCAAAGTAGTCATCATCTCTATTAGGTGGTTGATATACTGTTTTTTTTTATCAAAAGGTTGATAACACTGTTACTCCGCATGTCTGCAACACAGTAGCCAACTCATCATGTTATAATACCATCCCATGTACTCCATATAGCATTAGTATTCTTTTTTTTTTTTTTTGATGATTTATATCATTAGCATTCTTCACTAAGGAAATATGTCAGTTCTAGTAAAATTGAGCCAATACCATGGAATTATGTTGTGGAAATATTAGAAAATATTTTGACATTTTATACCATACTCTATTCAAAAGGTCTTTGTTTTTGCTTCTTTCAGAAGCTATTAAACCATTACTAGTGGAAAAAACACAAATAAAAAACTAATTTAGAAATTAATAGACTATGCAAAGGTGTAAAATACATAAACATATAAAAACGCAACCAGAAAAGGAAAACAAAAACAAAGGCCACACCTGGATGTGCAAGGCAACCCGGGCACACATTCTGGAAGGGACATCACTTGAGTTCAAGCAAGGCACAATCCTTAAAATGCAGCTTGCATGTGTAACCAGGCACATTTCTACACTAGAGTAGCCATTTTCTGGTGTTTATGGAAGGAAAGGGATGTTTTTGTGTTGCTTTTGATAGATCTCAAATTTCATCATCATAATAACACTTTAGGTAATGACAGATCAGGCATTTAAGGGTGTGACTATGTATGAAATTTTGCAGGGATGACAGCATGTAGCAGGTTATTCTAATGGTGAACAGCAGTTGGCTCCCAATTTGGAAGATTGGGAGGTAAAAACTATAGCAGGTTCTCTAGAGTGTTCCATATCTGAATGACCTTTAACCTATTTGGGCCTTCCGTTAGGAGCTAACCCAAAAGAAAGTCGGTTCTGGTATCCAATTGTTGAAAAGTTTAAAAAGAGGCTGGCTGCTTGGAAAAAAAAGTTACATTTCGATAGGGGGTAGAGTGACCTTGATTAGGGTGACACTCGCTAGTTTTCCGGTTTATTTTCTTTCTGTATTCAAGATACCCTCAAGGGAAGCCAAGGAGCTAGAAAAGGTGATGAGGGATTTCTTATGGGAGCCAGGGGAAGAGAAGAAGGATCACTTGATTAGGTGGGAGATAGTCAGTAGGAGTAAGGAAGAAGGGGGATTAGGATTGGGAAATCTAGTTCTTAAGAATGAAGCTTGACTAGGGAAGTGGCTTTGGAGATGATCGTTACAAAGAGAAAGGTTGCGGCACAAGGTGGTGAATAGTATTCATGGCTATTTGCAGAACGGTTGGGATGCCGGGTATCTCGATGGGCGACTCTTGCAACACCCTGGAAGGCCATTCACGGAATTCTACCCCATTTTCTCAATCTGGTCAGGTATGATGTTAATTCTAGACACAATGTTCTTTTTTGGGAAGACATTTGGGTGGGCAACCAACCTCTTAAAGACCTTTTTCCCTCTCTTTACTCTCTTTCCCTTTATAAGGAAGAGCCGATTTCCAGTTTTATTTCCTACTCAGACCCTTCTTTGGCCCTAAACTGGGATTTTGGTTTCCGTAGAGGGTTACATGATGATGAAAGTGCTTGTGTTTCAGATTTATTTTCTTCACTTGAATCTATTTGTTTAGATCCCCTTAAACCTGACACAAGAATTTGAACCCCTAACCCGAATGGTTTGTTCACTTGCTCCTCTTTCTTCAAGTCCCTTTGTTCCACTTCTGCACCTCAGAATTTCCCTATTAAAGAATTTTGGACTAGGCCCATTCCCCCAAAGATTGTTGTTTTTTGTTGGGAAGTTTATTATGGTAAGATTAACACCTTTGAAAACCTACAAAAGAGAAGACTAAATTGGTGCTTATCCCCTAATTGGTGTGTTCTTTGTAAATCTCAGAATGAGGACTATCACCACTTACTGATCTCTTTCTCCTTTGCTACAGCTTTATGGAATTGGATTCTTACGTTGTTTGAGTGTAGGTGGAACCCGCCATCTGATACTAGTTTGTTATTTAGTCCGTCTATTTTTGAAAGGCACACAAAGAGAGGGAGAATTATGTGGAAGTACATAAGAACAGCTTTGTTGTGGACAGTTTGGGAAGAAAGGAACACCAGAATCTTTTGTGAAAAAGAAAGGAGCTTCTTGGAAGTTAAAGAATGTATTTTGACAAGGACAATTCAGTGGCTGAAAACTCTAAAGATCTTTGATGCATACTCTTTTGATGACCTATGGAGAAGTTGGTTAGCAGTGGCTAATACTTCTACCAGGAAGGACAGACATGGGGTTGAATGGATGCCACCAGGGGAGGAGTTTATCAAGCTGAACTTTGATGGAAGTAGTCGAGGAAATCCAGGACCTTGGGGCATAGGAGGAGTGCTGAGAAACAAAGATAGTAGCGTGATATCTTTGTACAAAGAATCCAGCTTGCAAAGAATCTTGTGGGTGTAGGAGACTCTTTTAGGGCCGAATTACTGGCTGCTGTACAAAGAATCCAGCTTGCAAATCAGCTAGGCATAGAGCATCTGATTATTGAAGGGGATTCCCAAGTGATAGTGGGTTGGCTGAAGGATCTAGACACTGTTATTCGGGGTTTTAGAGATCTTCTCAAAAAGGTTAAATGGTTAACAAGGAATATGACAATCAGAGTTCAGTGGGTAGGCAGATCAGCAAACTCATTGGCTGATTCACTTGCAAAACAAGGGGTTTCCCGAGATACTTTATTTTGGGCTTCAGTGTAATTTCTTTTGTACTTGTACTTCTGTTATAATTCTGTAATTAGTTTTAAAGGAAAGGTCGCATCTCGTGCCTTTCCACGGGTTGCATGTAACTCTTATTTGCTGGTTTAATAAAATTTCACTCATTTATCAAAAAAAAAAGTGCCTAATGTTGGGAGAAGAAAATTTTAACTCTAATTGTTGTTAGGCAACTGAAGAGTTTCAGGAATTTGTGGATGGTTAGGACTAATCACTTTTCACTTTTCTATCAATTCAACTCCCAAAAATACATCCTTAAAACAATTCTTTAGGGAAAAGAGACAAAACTAATCACTTTTCTATCTCAACTAAGACTCTAGCATAGCTCACACATGCCTTAAACAAAATTTATGAAACTTAAATTAAGATATTATACACAAAGGCAAGTCAGACCATGGGGTCCACTGGTCAACTGTTACTTTATTGTTTACCAAAATCTTCAGTTTTCAGAAAACATCTCCAAAGATGCTTCAAGAAAAACACACTTCTGCTCAGCCATTTTGGCTGAACTTGTTAAGCATCCACTATCTAGTACCATAAGAATAATAACTTTGTTGCAAAATTTGGCTTTAATCCACCTAGTAACTTGAAAGATACAACTTTTCCGAGAGAGAATCCCCCTCTCATGATTCTCCGCTCAGCAGTCCAAGCTCCCTCACTTTAAGAAGCATTACTTTGTGCAGAGATCATCTCCCCAACCCTCCTCAACCATCTGCAGCTTTTCTCTAGCCCCTTCCCTTTAGACTTTAGAGATCCCCTCACCAATCAACATCTTTTGAACTACACTCAGCCACGTCAAACCATTAAGTCAGAATAAGTTAGGTTTCATATGGCTCTCGAAGAGGCTTTAGAAGAGGTACAACCTTGCAACAAATGCACAAAAAGTTAGTTGTTTACCTTTCTTATTTCTAATAAGTTCAGCCCAGTGCATGAGGCTCCCGCCATGTGGGGTCTGGAGAGGGAAAGATGTGCACTGCCTTACCCCTACACATACGAAGAGGCTGTTTCCAAGATTCAAACCCTGATCACCCAGGTATCAATGGAGCAACCCAACTGTTGCACCGGCCAGAAGAAAATATATACATGAGAGGATGTTCAATGCCACAAAAAACTACAGAAAATTCCCACCACTAGCCTCAACCTCCTGGAATAGTTATCAAATGCATTGATTTAATATCTAGATGCGATTTTGTTCCTTGATGTGACCCCCACAACAGACGTACAGCTAAATGTGAAAAATAACAAGCAAATGATACGGGTTTTACACATGAAAGTAACCACAGATACTTCAATAAAAGAGTACAATACCATTTCAATCCTCTCATGCAAACAGGACAAAGTCAAACATGAAGCACAGCTGTAACCCAACAAACCCAAGTAATATAGATCACACCCATGATCAACATGAAGTAACAATCCAGAAAACTACTTTGGTTTTCCAATCTGGTAGCTGGATTCATGGTAGTGAGTTGGACCAACAGATATTAGAAGAGGCCAAAATGGAACTTCTTGCATTTGTCACTGCAACAAAAAGGAATGGAGATATGTATGTCCCCACTCATCTTTATTGCATTAGAACAGCTCTTAACAAAGACACCATTACATGAAGTAAAGAACTAGCATGAGCTAGGAAATGGCTTGCCTAGGCAGGACTTGGTAAATTTCCAAATGAACATTACTTTTACTCCAGAAACAAAAGTAAAAAGAACAATTGTTCTTCTATTCCCAGGGCTGTCAATGGGTTGGATCTGACCCGATGGACCCGGTCCGGCTCTGGTTCTAGAATTCGTCCCAATGGGTCAGTTCCGGTTCCTAAAAAATTGTCCCAATTATTATCAGTTCATAACCGGGTCCACCATGACTCAAACCGACTTGGACCCGACCCGAGCCTTATATAATATTAAATGTATAAGATATATATATATATATAATAGTTAATAGATTATATATTATGTAATATTTAAACAACATATGTCCAAAATGGTCATGTCGGTAGGGCTTCATTCAAAACCCTACCGAAATGAGCCTTTTTTGTTTTCTTCTCCATTCAAAAGGCAAAAACAAAGCTAGAACTCTACAATTCTAGAAAACAGGAAAAGGGGCTGCAGTTGAGACAACCTAATCTTCTCTCTCGTCGTCTGTCCATCTCTCCTCTCTCATCGGTCTCATCTCTCTCACCGTCAATATATTCTCTCTTACCATTCTCTTCTTTGTCGCTGTCAGTCTCCTCTCTCATCAGTCTCTTCTTTCTCTACAGTCTCTTCTTTCTTTGCCATTAGCCTCTCTCTCATTTTTTTATTTTTACCAGTTGATTTCTTCTTATTTTTAATAGTTGATATTTAGCTCTTTACTGTTAAACTCGGTTGCTGGGATTAAGCCATCAAGGGTTTTTGTTTTAAATCGATCTCCATTGTTGCACTCGACTATTGGGAGTTTGAAATCGATCTCCACTGTTGAACTCAGTTGTTGTCTTCCATTGGGTTGGACCTGACTGTCCCGAAGACTGATCAATTCGGTTCTGGTTCCAAGACTACAGACCCTATAGGGTCTGGTTCGGTTCTGGGTCCATGGTATTTCTTGTCGGTTCGGACTAGTTCTACCATATTCCAAACCAGACCCGACCCGTTGACAGCCCTGTCTATTCCTGGAACAATTGAAGCATTTAACCTATTTGCCTTGATAACCATGATCAACACCAAAAAGCATCTTGCACAATAAACATTTTTTATCACTAACAATAGAACTTCATTAATAAAGGGAAAAAAATCTTGCACAATAAACATTTTAAAACAAAATAAAAAACATAAAAGTTCTCAATGGTCAATGTCCATGTACATATTAAATATAGAAACTAGGAAGTTCTTTTTTGTTTGTAGGTATATTTAGCCTTACAAACACTTATTTCACAACAGCAGCCCAAATTCATAGAAAAATGTGACAAAAACGTAACAAAAGGAATTTATTGTGACCACAAATCCCAATATAAGGTAAATGACATCATGTGATTAATTTCAATAAATGAAGTTAAAATTTCATCTTATGGTCTTGGCATTCAATTCTAGTTTAGGGTACTTAAGGTGTCAACCACAAAATGATCTGCTAAAAGGTGCAATACCCTCAAAATTGACTAGGAAGATCACCTCATTGTTTCATTCAAATTTAACAGAATTCCTTTAAATGTGCAAGACAAATGTCCAACCACCCATGCATCTGATGCTAGCAAAGGAAGTGCTTCAAAATATTACTTACTTCACGAAACCAAATCAAGACCAAACTATGTTGCACTATTTCAAAAGAATTCAATTTTTATTTAATGTGATCACCTTTGACGGATCTTCTCAAGCTCCCTAGGATCTGTGACTAGAACTTGAACACCCAATTGCATTTTTGTTTTCTGAAGATTGAAATCAAGACAAGCAATCCTAGCAGGAGCAACTCTAAGAGGCATTCCTTGTGCAGCACGGCCTGTATTTAGAGCATAACCATTCAGCAAATAGCTGTCTTTTGCACTTTTGCCATGAGCTTTCAAAATATTGATGCTCTGAAACAAGAAGAAGTGTATCACTATAACTTGCAAAACAAGAAAACTGGATGCCTTTCAAAACCATGAACCAAAAAAAGGGATTAGACTAAACGAAAATGCTTGACAATAGGTAAGTTCAAATCCCAATGACCACATCACAGATTCAACTTCAGATCAGAATATAATGTGAATTAGCTATAGAAAAGGAAAGACCAGTGCTTCCAACATGGCATACACAACTACACTCTGTGGATGATAACACTAGAAGTTTATACAACAACTGACCTTGATTGGGTATTTAGTCTCCCCATGTGCATTGGTGGTCTTTATTGCTTGAACTGCATCCACAGCCTAAGAAATCAAATTAAAAAGATGAATGCATTGATTGCATAACAAAATGTTAGAACCAGGAAGGGCATGCAGACAAACTCCTAGGAATGAGGAAATAGAAGCAAAAATCCTGTTTTTGTTTGGGTAAGTACAGCTCTTATTGACCACTCAAAAGTTCCCATGATGGACTAGCTGTTTAAACAGGCCCAATACTATGGACTTTCGCCACCTATCCAACCACAAAGAGAAGTGATGGGCCACACAGACCCCACAAGATTTATTACACCAAACAAGAATTCCTTACAAAATGTTCTATTGCCTTCTTATTGAATCATTGATCATTGTCCAGAGATTAAACTACTGTCAAGTTAGGAGATTATGAAATATTTAGAGATCTTAGAAGACATTTAGAATCTGGAAGATATTTTGCTTCTTTTTAGCTTAGAAGTCAAAATCTTTTCTAATAAACATATATTCCACACTTATGATTCCATACATAGGGTGGAAAACTGGAAACCCAGAAACATTTGTAAGAGAATAGTAAAATAAAATATAGATTTTATTAGCAATATTTTCTTTTCTTTTTGTTGCAGACACCAAACATTATTAAGAGTGCAGACTCCGTCAAAAGAGCCTTACAAGGTGTAAGCAGAAAACAATTGTGCATGGATAGATTCCACAAAAGGAAATAAGTTGGGGCAGCTAATGTGGACTAGACTGATACCTGGGGGTGCTTGGCATATATATATAAAATATATGGTAAGTCTTAATAGACTATTCTAAGATGGTTTGGTGTTGTGCATGGAAGACCACTTACAGTAAAAAGTGGTCTGCTAGAAATTGAAGGGATAGAGGGGCTAGAGGCAGACCAAAAAAAGGACATGGGCTGAAGTAGTAAGAAATGATTTTAAGTGCTCATAATTTAACAATGGATATGGCATTAAACAGAATGAAATGACAAAACAGGATTCATTTTTTTGGTAATAAAATAAAAAAAAATACTAAAATAAAAAGAAGATACAAGGAGAGTGACAAGAAGGAGAGAGAGAGAGAAGGCAAGGAACAGCTCCCACAAAAAAAAAAAAAAAAACACTACAAACCCAAGAAATCCAATACCCAAATCTCCAAGAAATGAAAAACTTGCTAAATCAATCAAGCCCACACCACAAAACAATCAACCAAGCCCCAAAGTGTCACATACTAAAAAAGACAAAAAAACTTCAACCCAAATTCCATCCTTGAGCACCAACCTTACTACTTTGACCCAGAGCATCAACAAGAAAAAAAACACCCCAACAAGACACAAATAAGCCCTCCTTCTTTGATGTTCTCTTGAAATTCAACATCTTCTTGTTTGGTCCAACCGCAAGAAGACCCCCTTTCAGCCTACCAAAAACTTTTTTTCCTGAAGATAAATGAAAAAGAAATTTCATTGCTGATACCAAAAACTTTTGAGACCAAGACATCTCTATCTTTCTTCTGTTTCCTAAACCTTTTAACTGCTAGTGTGTTTCCTGATCTTCTTCGAAACAGCAAGCTCCTCATTGATTCTTTCCAATTCCATGACAAAATTTGTCTCAAAAAACCTAACATCATCCTCTTCTGTACTTTTTTCAACCACCTCTGATCTATCTGCACATGAAAAATTTTGAGTGTCATCAAACAGTAAGGGACTCTCAAAAGTATCCCCAGTACCCTCCCACACTGACATTGGAAAAATGTTTTTCCAACCCCGTGAACATCTTTCTAGTATAATCTTCTCCCTCAAGACAAGAATACCAGTTGCCTTGCCCACCTGGGCCACCTCTAATCCTGTATTTACAATCTTCTCCACATCTATCAATTTTTCAACATGAGTCTCATCTATTGGAATTTTTTCTTTCTCTGAACCCAAATGCTTTTCTTCCTCCCCTTCACTTCCTTCTCCCTTCTCCTTTTCCAGAACATCTTCATCATCCTCTTGTAATGGGCTTGTTCTGTAATGTCTCTTTCTCTTGAATACGTTTGAAGAAGGATTAACTAAAGCTTTCTCAATTTTCCCCCACCACTACCCTCCTCCTTTCCCAAGGATATCGTAATTGCACTTTTTAAAGCCTCCATCTCCAAGTAAACTCTCTCCTCTCCCTTTCCCTCTCCTTCTAGCTTATCCTCCCCTTCTTTTCTCCCACCTGTCGCTTCTACAGTGGTTTCTTTCTGAAGTTCACCTTCTTTTTGCTGTAATGCATAACCACTATGAATAGTTGAAGCAGTGTTCCCAGCTACAGCCACAGCCTCTTCACTCTTATCCCGCCTCTCTTTTATTGGTGAAAAAAAACTTCTCTCCTGGTCAGAATTCAAGGCCTTCGTTTCCAGCGCATAGACCTGAGTCCCCAGACCTCAAAGTTGGAGATACCCCAGTTTCTTTGTAAGAATATGTTGTAATTCTCCAAACAAAGCCTTTGGTATCCTGTCTTGTAGACTCCCTTCTTATCATCATAGTTTCAATAATTCCTTCTAACTTTTATAGAAACGATTATAGACCCACACTCGTGTCTATCACACATTCCCCCCCAAACGAGCCCACTTGCTTTGATAAAAACTTAGAAGTCCCGACTCTAAGGGACCCACTCGAACTACTCACAACACTAGGCCCAAAAACATTTAAATCCACCTCCCTCACATGACCACTTAGGTTATCATGTGAGAGGTTTGACTAGCTAGCCAGTCCAACCCCAACTACACGGTTCGAACCGAAGGCTCCTGCCAACAAAACCGAGTCCTCATCCTTTTCTCGTTCCTGGTAAACATGCAGACAAGCATTTAAACCATCTGTCATCACCTGGTCAAAAGAATCCCCACACGCTGCCCAAACCTGTTTTCTTAAGCCTGACGTTTCCTCCCCTGAGTGGGGAAGGGCCTTGGGTTCTTCAAAAATGTCATGACACTCCTCTAGGAGCCGTTTGAGGTCCCCCTTTAATTGGGAGCTAGGTGGTTGGGTCTCAGGTCCAAGAAGTTCAATCCCCTCCCAATCTGGACCCATATACATCAACACTGGCAGATCCATGTATTGACAGTATTTCATGATAGACTGGTTTAACTCATGTTTTGGGGGAGTTGGTCCATGGCCCGCAAGGGAATATGCTTGTCCATTTTGAGTGAAGTACATGGATAATCTACCCAATCATTGATGGCCGGTCCCAAGTCACTCAGCCACTGTATACCAAGAACTATGCTGGTTCCCTGAAATTCCAGAGGGTGGAGATCCACCTTAAACTGATTCCCCTGTATCATAAGGTCAACCCCGTTGCAAAGCCCATTACAGGTCAGGTAATTCCCATTGGCCACATGCACCAGAAACAGCTCAATGGGCTGAACCAGAAGCCCCAATTGCCGAGCCAGCAACTCGGTAATAAAATTCAAAGTACTATCACTACCTATTAGAATGGAAACAGAGTGGTTCCTGAGCTTACCCTCCACCCTCATTGTTCTCGGTGTTGGTCAACCTATTAAAGCTTGAAGGGATATTTCTGGAGCCTCATCCAGTTCCTCTATCCCAACATATTCCCGCGGCTCTTGATCGGAATCCTTGTCATTGTCCTCCATCCGAAGCAAAAATAACTGATGCTTCTTGCATCTGTGACCCAGAGAAAATTTCCCATCACAGTTATAGAAAAGGCCCCATTCCCTGCAAGATTGCACTTTTGTCCAGTTAAGCTTCTTCAAGGACAGCAGAGGGCCATTGGTTTTGGGCTTACCCACATTCTAGTCAAGTCGAGGCAGAGGTGTTTTGAGGAAAGGTTCTAGGTTTCGTTGCAGCCTCTTCATCCTATTCAATCGTTCCTCATGGAGGCGAGCCAAGCTAGTTGCAGCAATAACAATCGCCAGTTGAAGATCATTCACTTCAATCCGAATGTCCTCCTGGATTCCTCCAACAAAACATCCTGCCAATGCCTTCTCAGGCCACCAAAAACTCGAGAAGCCAACTTCTCGAACTCGTTCCAGTATTCCTAAACAGAGCTAACTTGTCTAAGCTTCAAAAGGGCTTCATAACCCAACGGCCCAAATCTAGGGCACAAGGCTTCTGAGAAATCAAACAAGGTGAGGTGAGGATTAATCCGGCGATACCATTGATACCAAAGTATCGCTCCCCCTCCATATGTACCATTGCTACCCTCTATTGGTTGGGAATCTCATTATATTCGAAGAATCATTCTACTCTGAAAATCCATGACATTGGATCATCACCGAAGAAGAGAGGAAAATCCAGATTAGCCGTGTGCCATGGATTTCCCCCTTGCTTCTGACTACTCCCTTGGCTCGAGCAGTCATCTAAATCTTGAGTTGTTGTAGAGTTCATCCGTTCACATTGGCTAGCCACTGTGGTCAAGGCTTCTGTAATCTCCTTGAATTCCCCAGTAACCTTCTGTAACTCCCCTTCTATCTTCTCCACTCTTTCATCCATTGCAATCTGGTTGTCGACATTGGGTTCCCTCCAATAACCTGAGCTCTACTGCTCACCACAGGGGCTACTTTAAGGGAGCCCTACCTCCTAGAAATTGAGAGAGAGAGAGAGAGACTTTTGAGAGCAACTGAACTGCCCATTGCATTATTCAGGTTGGTATTTATAAGGCACTTACATCGAAGGCACATGGTGAGAATCAGGTGTAATCATTAATATCATAACTAACTCATTTGTCGTGACCCCCTAATGTAGACGTGCCTGAGAGGTGGCTTTGGGCCTTGGACCACAATCGGCTTGGGGCTGGTGAAGTGGCACACCCGGGTCTCCTGGGCTGGTTGGGCCTTGTTAGTTATTCACTGCCAAAAGTATTTAAGCAATGTTTAATCCTGGTGGTAAATTGAATTAATCTATTGGAGGTTTTTTCGATTTCCTTTGAAGAAAATTTTCCTTGTTATCTATGTTGTCCAACCCAATGTTTCTTCCATTCTCGAGAAACTAACCATAGCTCCAAAAGGGAAAAGAAAGGGCCAAGGTCACTTGTCTACAATTTCAAAACTGAGAAATATACCATATCAAAGAAAAAGCGTCTGAGTATTTAAGGCAAACCCACAAGTGCTCTTCAAATTCAAATAGTTAGGAGCATAAGAAAGACGGATTTGTTGTACTGGTGTTGGAATTGAACTGACAAGATTATGTAGATGGTCAAGAGGATGTTGAGGATCTACGGGGACTCAAGGAAAGAAGGAGGTGGAGTTAGAGAAGAACTAGTGTTTGGTGGTGTTGATGAAGGTATTTGGAGTTGAGGAGATTTTTGAAGCAACTAAAGGTGGAATTCACTGTTGGGGAAGGGAGCAAGGGAAAGAGGTGGCAACGCTCCTCTGTCACAGGTGATCATGGGAGTTGGTCTGAGTTGAGAAGTGTCTAAGGTGATGTCTTATAGAGCAAACCTAGTATGCAAGTAGGGCGCTTAAACCATGTATATAACAGAGTTTATTTTATGATCAAATAATGTTCAAATGAGTCCTAGGGTTGATGGGATTGAAGAGCAAAACTAGATTTTGGAAATGTTATGAGAACCCCATTTTTTTCTTTTTTTTATAATTGCCCCGTTCTTTTAATATTATGCATTCATCCTTCTTAATACAAGACATTCTTAAAAGATGAAGAATTATAATTAAAATTACAAAATTAAACTTTTGTGCATGAATTAAGGATTTGGGACTCTAGCAAGGATTTGTTTGCCCTTGCATCAAGGGGCTAGGTATAAAGTGGCTCAAAGAATTAGGGTAATGTGATTAGGAAAGAAATAAAGAAATTAAAATTTTCAAGTGTTTGAATTGCTGAGTGCATGAATATGTTTATATGTTATGTTTAATTTTATTTTTACATTTTCACTTTGAATATGCATTATATGTTTTTTGATGAATGAATAAGTAGTTTTATTAAAGAGAACAAAAAAGAGTACAATCATCCTTGGAGGAGGCACAAGGTGCTACCTCCCCTTTAGGGTGAGTACAGACCCATGTCTTAACAAAAACATAACAGAACTATAGATATACAAAAAAGCACGAGAAACCCCTTGTTTGACCAAAGTGTCTGCGAGAGCATTTGCTGATCTGATCCACTGGAAATTGACTGACATATTTCTTGTGACCCATTTTACTTTTTCAGGAAATCTCTGTAGCCCCAAATAGCACTGATCGGATTCAGCAACCAGCCCACTACCACCTTGGAGTCACCTTCTACCAATAGGTTCTGCACCCCAAGTTGGTTAGCAATTTGTAGGCCTTGTACAACTCCCAAGTATTTCAGGCCTTGTTGAGTCTCCAACTCCCATTGGACCTAAGAATAAAGAGATAATGCCTGAGGGCCCTGGGTTGCCTTGGTTGCTACCATCAAAGTTCAGCTTTACAACCCCTTCTGGAGGGGGTGTCCACCTTACTTGTGTCCTAATCTTCTTAGATACTACAGAAGCCACCATTACCCAACCCCTCCAAATGTCATCATAGGAATATCCACAAACAAATCAGAAGTCTTTAGCCAAAAGATGGTCCTTGTTAAAATACTCTCCTTAACTTCCCCAAGACTCCTTTCTTTTCCTTGGAATATCCTGGCATTCCGTTCTTCCCAAATAGTCCATATCATAGCTGCTCTTATGCATTTCCACATCAGTTTTCCTCTCTTCGTTGGCCACCGAAAACTTGATGGATCAACGAGCATTTTTACTTCAGAAAGCAAGTTCCACCTTACAAACTTGAGGAAGTCGGGGAGAACGCTAGAAATTACTTTCCAAGGAGTAGTGGGTCGAGCCCATCGAGATATCCCAGCATCCCATCCAGTTTCGGAACAGCCACGGATACTAGCCAGTAGCCACCACTTCATGTCAAAGCCTCTCTCTTTCCACAGGCCACCTCTAGAGCCATTTGCCTAAAAGAGCTTATGCTTATGTATTTAAATTTGATCTAATAGGCTTTTTAAAACATTTAGTTTAAGATATATGCGTTCTTTAAATAATACTATTTTAAATATTTTTTGAATTGTTTTGCAGTTTTTTTTTTGCATTTTTTTAACTTTTTAAAATTTTGCGCCTTGCTTCAAAAAGGCACACGCCTCGCTTTGCACCTTGCACCTCAGGTGCAAAAAGCCCCTTGCACTTTTTTTGCACCTTGAGCTTTCTTTACGTCTTGTGCTTTTAAAACACTAGACCAATGGAAACTAGAAATATAGCAACAAGTTAAGAAATCTCACAACATGACTCCCAAACCTGGAGCCCCATATACCAATTTAGAGATGTCTAAGTGTCTAGATGGGTTCCAAATCGCCTAGGCATCACTTTTTTTATATTAGTTATGCCATTCAAGCCAGGCACCCGTCCAAAGGTGCCATGTCACCTAGGCGCAATGCCTTGATAACTATCAAATAAATAAATAAATGGCTTTTAACAAAAACAAAATAATAAAATTATCACTTTATATAATAGTTTAAATACACTTAAATTTTTTTCTGATCAGTAAAAATGTATTTTATTAAATTCAGATTATAAGCAGTTTATACAACTTGGTGATGGGACTGTTGATCCCCTTTAATCACACTATTCTACTCCTCATTACAGTGCAGCCCAAAATAATTGCTGTCTCAATGCCCCCTGTTTTGCTAATCCATCAGCTAGCCCATTTGCACTTCTTTGGACCCATTTAAATTCAGCCTCAACCTCCTTTGCAATCTTCTCCACTTCGGACCCATTTAAATGACACTTAAATTTTCAAACAAGCAAATAAGTTGGAAAATGAAAACAACAAAAAGCAAAATGTTTAATATAATGAATCTATGAGAATGATCATAATATCATGCATAAGGAATTCACATTTCCTATTGGTTGCAAGAACAGGAATTCTCATAGGCAACTTTCTGAGAATCTAAAGGCTGATGCAAAGCCCCTATGTCGGCATTTTGTTAGCATGGAGAGTTAAAAGGGCTGGAACAGAAACATACTTCCATAGAAAACACAGTGTGACACCTTTAAAATTCTAAATTTCAATAGCTATAATGACAAACAGATGAGACACAAGGGCACACAATAAATGTGACTAATGTCTTACCAAATTAGCAAAGAAATCACTGTCAATGGCAATTAGCTTCGAGGACATGCTTGTCTTGGCACAGTTTATGAGGGAATCTTTTCCAAGCTTTTCAACCTAGATATGCATAGGAGAAAAAAAAGAAATTCATAAAATACATAAAAAAAAAGTAAGAGAACCAGATTAATGGCGTCCATAAACAAAGGATAACCTATTAATCTAGAAATACAGAATGGGCTTAAACCAATATTTCCAAGAGATCTTTTGACTAAAAGTTAACATAATGGATTGAAATCAAATACATTCAACATAGAAAATTCACCCTGGAGTGGAATGGATGTTCCACTCTCTGTATACATGACAGTGGTTATCATGCAGATCTTGCAATATAAATCAATGGGATGTGCCCTCTTAAGCAAACCATGTACATTGACAAGCCATCTGCAGAGAATTCAGTCTCAAAGACACTAATTTTCACATCAGAGTCACAAAATTTTCCAGGATATTTTCCTGTTTCCTTTTGGAACGTTTCCAAATATAAGCTGTAAGGAAGCATACCTTCACAGCAAGTTTCTCATCAACATATTTGCATGCTTCCCTCATAGCAAGCTGTCAAAAAATAAACTTGTATGTATATAAAAGAAAATAAATGTGCAGACAAAATATCAATGAACCGATAAATTGATGCAATTATAGTTACAGTCACTATGAAAATAAAATGTTCTCTTACAAGTAAAAAAAACTCACTCTGTATCCACTGATTATAGATGTTGGATGAATCTTATTTCTTACTAGATCATTTGCTCTCTGCATAAATTAAAGGATAAAATATAATTATTGATTTATTTGGAAAATCTAGCAGCAATGCAAGCATATTTGAAGGAGTAAACGCTTTATCACATGCATGTTTATCCTTCAATCAGCCTGCAGGAGCTAAAGTCTAAGCATTACCTTGAGTAATTCTGCTGCTACTATAACCACTGAGGTCGTCCCATCTCCAACCTCTCGATCTTGGAGTTCAGCCAATTCCACAAGCACCTAAAACCCCCAGAAGAAGGAAGATATAAAAGATGACACAGACACACATAATCAAACACCAACAAAGATCTCTCAGAAAAAAAAATACCAACAAAGAGAGAATAAGAAGGAACAGAAGTATGGCAAGATCGTATACCTTGGCAGCTGGATGCTCAACTTCTAACATCTTGAGTATTGTAGCACCATCATTAGTAATTGTTACATCACCAATATCATCAACTAGCATCTGAAGAATTGATCAATGGCGATAGTGTCAAGGACAAATGGTAATGCACCAACACATACACACACACACTCTGACATAAAAGACAACATAAAAACACATTTCAGCACCCAATTGTTTCCAGATTGAAAATTTTTATTTTTGACATATGATCTTTACCCAAGGATTTTCAAGACCAAATATGAGTTTTTCAAAGCGACCAAGTGCATCAGGAAGTTCTTCTCAAGTCCTTCAAAATAAGTACCCATATGCCTATATTTGATCCTAAATGCAGAGGTGTAAATCAGGCTGTGCTGCCCGCAGCCCGGCACAATTGTATGAGTCGTGTCGGGCTTGGGGTTTCAGGTCGGCGGGCCAGGCCAGCACGGCCTGCATTGTCATGCCGTGCCGCCCATGGCCAGCCTGCCCCCCAACTATATAACAACTAGTTGAGGGGGTATTTAGGTAAAGTGATAAATGACTTTATAATAACCAAAATACCCCTCCCAACAACTAAAAAACAGCTAGTTTTTAGGGTATTTGGGGGAATTAAATTATTTTCAATTCCTATAAATAGTCTTATCCTCCACCATTCTCATCACACCAATTATCATACTCTTCTATACTCTCTCAAATCTCAATCTCCTCTCATTCATCATACTCTCATACTCTCTTTACTCTTCAATTCTCAACTTGATTCAAGTTTCAACAAGAACAAGGCTTGCTCGGGTATCTCAAGTTAGCAATTTGGGAGACTTGGAAGCCTCAACCGTTGAAATCAAGTTGAAATTCCAAACCAGCAATCCAGGCAAGTGCAATTAAATTAATTTTTATTTTTTTATAATTAAAAAAATGGTCAGCTCCTCCTCTCACTCTCGACACCAATTCCCCAACATGGTCAATGTCGACGATGTCAATGCTCAATCGCAATATGATAGTGTTAGCGCCGATATGGATGTTGTTGATATTGTCGGCACTCCCACCCCTAGTACTGCTACTAGAGGTAGGGGAAAGAAAAAGAACACTAGGTTGATTAGCCCGATTTGGACAATATTTAAAATAGACAAGGTTGAGGGGAAGGGACAGAGAGTCATTTGTAAAAAATGTACGAGTGACTTTAGCTATAGTAGTACTAGTGGTATTGGCCACTTGGCCAAACATTTGAAACGCCATTTGATGAAAGAAGGGAAAGAAACATCACAAGCATAAATAGGCAGTGAGATTTTTGGTACTTTTAAATATTCCCAAGAAAAAATGAGGCAAGAATTAGCAAAATATATTATGCATGTTGAACATCCATTTTTATTAGTTAAAGATACTAAACTTGAAAAATTTTTACATAGATCTGTAAATCAACAATTTTAAAAAGTTTCTAGAAATACTATTAAAATAGATGCTTTGAAAAATTCTAAAATTGCGATTACTTTTGATATTTGGATATCTAGATTTAACATAAGTTATATTTGTGTTCTCAGTCATTTTATTGATGAAAATGGCTTTTACATAAAAGAATTTTAAGTTTTACTAGGCTTGAATGGCCACATGCTGGCCCAATTATTGTTGCAAGTATTTTAAATACTTTACATATTTATGGAATTGAAAATAAACTTTTTTCTATTAGTTTTGATCATGCTAGTAATAATGATTCAGCAATAAATATTTTAAAATTTCAATTGAAACCATGTTTAAATGGTAAACTATTTAATATTATATGTGCATGCCACATCTTAAATTTATGTATTCAATATGCTTTAAATAGTATTTCTCATCATATTTCTAAAATTAGAAATTGCATAATATATATTAAAAGTTCTTAGAGCAAGAAAACAAGAATTTAAATATTTATGTCAAAATTTTGAAATATAAACATTTTGTATTAGATGTTCAACAAAGATGGAATTCTACCTATTCTATATTAGAATGTTGTATTGCTTACAAACAAATTCTTAGTGATTTTTATAATGCAAAAATGCCACACGACCCTATACTTGAGGAAAATTGGGAGATGGCAATTTGTGTGAAAGATTTTTTACAATTTTTTTATGATGCAACTAATGACTTTCAGGTGTTTATTACTCAACCAGTTGTCTTTTAGTCAATCAATTATTTATAATTAATGAATGTTTTGCAAAATATAGGAAAAATCCACAATTTTAAAGTATTATTGAAATAATAGAAAATAAATTTAAAAAATAATTGGGAGAAAATTTCTCCCCTTTATTGCTTAGCTATAAAATTAGATCTTAGGATTAGGAAAGATGGTTTAGAAATTTTACTTGAATCATACTGTGAAAATACGAATATTGAAATTGGAAATAAAATAGAATAAGTTAACAGTTTATTATTTGAAATGTATATTTTATATGAATCTCAAGTTGTAGGACATAGGAAATCTTGTACAGGTGCAAGTTCCACTTTTGAAACAACTAGTTCTAGTAGTGGATTAGACAAAATTTGGTTTCTAATACATAAGAGGCAGAAATCTACCACGAGTTCATCAGCAAGTTCATTTACTAAACTTAATTTTTATTTACAAGCAAATATTTCTACTTTAATCAATTCCTACGACAACACAGGATGGGATAATTTTGATATTTTAGCCTGGTGGAGAGGACATGAAAAAAACTATCCAATCCTTGCCACCATGGCACGTGATCTACTAAGCCCTCTGATGTCTACATTTCCATCAAAGTCTTTTTTAGTGCAGGTATTAGGGTACTGGATGACAAGAGAAGCTATATGAATGATGAAAGTCTGGAGATGTGCATCTGCCTTAAAGATTGGTTGGATGCTGAGGATAGATTACAAGACAAAGGAGGGCATGACATTATACCTGCTATTTCACCTGAAGCAGATGATGACAATCAAGGAGATGATAAGATGAAGATGCAGGTGGAGGTGGAACTTGAAGAAAAATGATGAAGTCAATATTTTTTATTTTCTTGTGTACTCAATATTTCATTATTTCAATATTGTAACTTTTTTCAATTTTTTAAGTTATTGTAATTTTTTTCAATTTTATTTAAATTAGTTGTCATTTTATCAACAATGTAATTTTTATTTTCAATTTATAATTGTATTATTTTTTTATATTTTATTTCATTTTCTATATTTCATTCATCCATTGTCCATTGACCATTGTATTGTTCACATTCAAGAAATAAAATTCCTATTTTTTTCCAATTTGTTATCCATTTTGTATTTTGCCAAGTATTTAACTAATTTAAGTATTTTTTTTATTTCTTTGTTAGATTTTTTATTTTTCCCCAAAGCTCAAAGGAATTATTGAATCAAGTACAGTGAAGTGTTTTAGCAAAAAAATTAAAAAAAAAAATCAAAACGACAAAATAAGCAAAAAAAAAAAAAAAAACTGTTTGGCCCAGCCCAGGCCCGTGCCCGACAAGGGCTGTGGGCCATGCCGGGCCGACCCCCCAAAGTATCCCAGGATAAGGAAGCACGGCCCGGGACGCACGCGAGCCATGCCATGCCAGCCCAGCACAGCACAAGCCGATTTACACCTTTACCTAAATGTTGGATCAAATAGGATTATTTTCCAACTTTGAGCATACTTTCAACCCTCATTTGTCTTCCAAAATTTGGCAAATTAGGTGTCATAAAGGTTTTTGAATAAGTTTTGAACCAAGCCTAAGATAAAATAAATCCTATTTATTCTTATATTATTTTAATAATATACATGATTTTGCCAAAACCTGGCCCTCATAAAAGGGTCTTCAAAACCATTTCAAAGAAGTTGTCTATAAACTCCTTGTTTTGCTAGCGAGTCAGCCATCCCATTTGCGGTCCTTCTGATCCATGTGAAAGAAGCATTGAATTCTCTTTCTAAGCTTTCAATCTCTTGTAGGGAATGTCTATAAATCTAGGGAGCATTATGGATGTCATGGAAGGATTGCAAAAGGCAAAAGAGTTGAATGTAAGACAGCCAATTATAGAAGGGGATTCAAAGTTAGTAGTGGAGTGGTTGCCAAAGAAAGATAAGGGTTTCTGGATTTTCAACAATAAAATAAAAGAAAGTTGATCTGTGGAGAGTTAAGAAAGTTTACCTCTCCCGATCTTGTAAATAGTTTTCTTAATTCTAATTAAATTCTGTTATTGATCAATATGTGTGTGTGTGTGGTTGAGAGAACAGAGAAAAAACGGGGCGGCAGTTATCTCCCAAGAAAAGCTTATCTTCTTCCTTCCACCATTTTCTCCTCCCCAAATATGACTCCATCTCTTGTGATGTATTACTGCATACTTATCCTCAATGAAGTCATCAAAGGAATAAATGTGGTTTTAGTTATAGGAAGCATGTTTCAAAGCATGCATTCTTCAAAACCTAGTTGCAATGAACACCCCATGTTCTTTTTATGAAACCTAGATAAACTCCATAAAATCTCCAATGAGATTGTGATTTTGGACTCAAAGGAAAACCATGATGAGGATTTTGAGAGACAGTAAGCCCAAAGCAGGTAAATACTACAGTCGATAAACCTTATGATTTGGGATTCAGAGGAAAACCTATGCTACAGCCAGTAAATACCCAATGCCAGAAAAGAAAGCATCTACTGTTCACCTTCCCAGCAGAGTGGCCAAATGAAAATGTGCAGTCTGTCGTATTTTGGGTCTATTCTTGCTGGGTGATTCCTTATCACCCTGCTGTAACCTCTCTTTCCTTTTTCTGTTATATAGTTTATTTTTATTTATCTTCAAAAAAAATACACAACAGCCACATCAGCAGAGATGGAGTGATAACAAGGGGGAAGATAAGTAAGCCCGTCCAACAAATTAGGAAGTGAAAGTATACATTCTTGTGGAGCATTAACAGGTCTCTTATGTCACCAACACCCCCCATGCCAATTATTCCCCCAACCACCAAATGATACTCATAAACCTGACTGACGTGGATAAGCACTAACCAATGGCTGTTGCTTGATGCCCCAACCAAAATCCTTGCCAACATTCTCATTCTGGCCAACATATTAATCTCTTTAATTTTAATCTCAAAAAGGAGGGTCGTCTGGTCCATCTGACAATAGAGATTAAATGTTTCACTCAACATGGTATGCCCTCCCACATCAGCACACTCTATTCTCATTTGAGTCCTTATAGGTTCAAAAGCGCACCCCTAGGGGGATCAACGAAACGAGGTAAGGACCCAAGTTAACACTAACTATGAGAAATGTCATGACCCCTGTTTATTGAGCAAATAAAGTACACCAGCTGCAAGCATAAGATACACTCTAATCTAACACCTAACTGATCATTACACAGCATTCAGCACAAACTCACTTGCCTTCCAGAAGAGGGAAACAAGAAAAAAAGGAAATACTCAGTATACACTTGAAAATAAAATCTCTTGAAAATGACAAATAAAAAAAAAGAACGGTAAGAAACAATGAAGGATATTCTGATGGCATTCATCCGAGGAACAAAGGAGGTACCTTGTCCAGACCAACGGGTCCAAGCGATGATTTCACAATGTTCGCAACAGCTTGACACGCCACCACTGCCCATGTTCCGTTCGGAATCAACCAAAAAGACAGGACCGATAAAAGACTTCGATTAGATTTCATATGAAATGATGCAAATAAGCGCAGTGAAAAGGAAGAGTAAAAACAGAAAACAAAATGAGGCACCATTATCAAGCAACCTCGTCCTTCAAGCAAAAAGGGCATTAAAAAGTGTACCATCTTGGGTCCGAACGTCCTGGCCAGAATGTCGCTCCCCCAAAATATCAGGAGTCTGTGCTGCAATCGCCATTTTGGGATAGTCCAAAGTACTGGAGCAAGAAAGCTTCTGAGACTAAACCGAAGATTTAGAACTTAGAAGGTCCAAAGAAGGGTCTGTACAAACCCCAGAAATCTTCAATCTTCTGTCACCAAGTAGAGATCAAGGGATTCAAGGCACGGAGGCCGAAAGGAGTGAGAATTTGAAAAATGAAAGGCAAATGTCTTGAATTACCGCTAAGGTTTAGAGGTGTAAAGTGGGCCGTGAACGGCCGTGCCGCTCTCTCGGTGGAAATTTTGGAGGTCGGCCCAGCACCGCCCATGGCCCAGGCCCAGGCCGTGCCGGCACTCAGCCCTGGGCCGGGCTGGGCTACAGACCTTGCCGTGGGCTTGGGCCGTGCTGGGCTGGGGCCTGAGATGAACTGAGTTGCACTATTTTTTTTGAAAATTTTGATTTATTTTTTAAGTAAAATTGTAAAACTAAAATATTTAACTTTACTTTGAACATTTGGAATTGAGAACTATTTAAAAAATTAAGAAATGATAAATCTATTTTATCTAACATATAAATGAAAAAAAATACTTAACTAAATTGAAATAAGAATGATGGAATAACAAATTGAAAGAAAAATATGAAATTTATTTCATTTAAATTTGAATGGTACAAATTAGTGAATTACAAATATAATGATTGGATCATTGCATACTTGGATGAATGAAATATGAAAATGGAATAAATTAATAAAATATAAAAAATACAATATGGTTACAAATTGTAAATACAAAATTACATTGTTAACAAATTAAATATATATATATCAAATGAATTAAATAAAAAAAATACAAGTAGTCAAATTCATGAACCATCATTCATGACTTTCATCATCTGCTTCGGGTGAAATGTCCGGTGTAGTATCATGCCCTCCCTTGTCTTGTAATCTATCTTTTGCATCTAGCCAATCCTTAAAGCAAATGCGCATCTCTATGCTCTCATCGTTCATGCAACTTCTTTTGTCATCCAGCACCTTGGTACCTGCACTAAAATAAGACTCCGATGGAACTGTAGACACCGGAGGGGTTTGTAGATCACGTTCCATGGTGGCGAGAATCGGATAATTTTTCGAATGTTCACTCCACCAGGCGAAAATATCAAAATTATTTTGATACTTTACCTAAATTATAAAAAATTGCTAGCAAATAAAAATTAAGTTCAGTAGATGAACTTGTTGTAGAACTAGCAAATTTTTGCATTCTACTTATTAAATAAAAAAGTTTTTCTCTTCCACTACTAGGCTCAAGATCAGAAGTAGAAGAATAAGATGATGAACAAGTCGTAGGAGTATTTTCCTACAACTTCATATTCTTACAAACTGTACATTTCAAATAATAAATTATTAATTTCTTCTTTTTTATTTCCTATATCAATATTCATATTTTCACAATATGATTCAAGTAAAATGTCTAAACTATCTTTCCTAATACTAGGGTCTAATATCGTAGCTAAACAATAAAGGGGAGAAATGTTCTCCCAATATTTTTTAAATTTATTTTCCATAATTTCAATAATACATTAAAATTGTGAATTATTTATATATTTTGCAAAGTAATCACTAATAACCATTAATTGATAAGGTAAATTACAACTAGTTGGATAATAAATTCCAGATAATTCGTTTGTTGCATCATAAAAATGTTTTAAAAAATCTATTATACATACTGTCGTTTCCCAGTCTTCCTCAAATATCATATCATTAAGCATTTTTAAATTATAAAAACCAGAAAGAAATTGCTTATGAGATATACAACTTTCTAACACAGCATAGGTAGAATTCCACCTATGTTTTACATCAAATATAAAATCTATATTTTAAACCATAAATTTGACATAAATATTTAAATTCTTGTTTTCTTGCCCCTGAACTTTTTATATATATAATACAATTTATAATTTTTGAAATATGAGTAGAAATAGTATTCATGGCATCTTGAATACATAAATTTAAGATGTGACATGCACATCTAATATGAAATAATTTACCATTTAAGCATGGTTTTAATTGAGATTTTAAAATATATATTGCATAATTGTTATTACTGGCATTATCAAGATAAGCATGCAAAGTATTTAAAATACTTGCACCAATAGCTGGGCCGCTATGTGGCCATTCAAGCCTAGTAAAACTTAAAATTCTTTTTATTCAAAAGCCAATTTTTATCAATGAAATGACCGATAACACAAATATAACTAATATTAAATTTGGATGTCCAAACATCCGAAGTAATTGAAACTTTAGAATTAAGATTTGCTAACAAATAAATTATATTTTGTTTATATAAATAAAGAATTTTTAAAACATCAATTCTTATAGTATTCTTATAAACTTTTTTATATTGTGGGTTTATAGAACTACACAACCATTTTTCTAGCTTTGGATCTTCAGCTAATATAAATGGTTATTTTGCATGTACAATATACTTAGCAAGTTATTGTCTCAGTTTTTTCTTGTGAATATTTTAAAGTACCAAAACTAGCCCCCCTCCAAATATGTGTTTGGGTTGTTTCTTTCCCTTCATATTCTCTCGCTCATGTGTGAGCAGATGTCTGCTCAAATGACCCATACCACCATTGCTACAATAACTAAAGTCTTTCCCACATTTTTTGCAAATGGCCATTTTCACTTTCCTTCAATATCATCTACTTTAAAAAAATTTCAAACCAGGCTATTCAGCTTAGAAGCCCTCCTTTTTCCCATAATATTAATACTCGGGGTGAAAGTTCCACTTCCATCGACATCAACTGCATCAGTGCTAACACTATCATGATGCGATTGAATATCATCATTGGTGAACATGTTGGGGAATCGGTTTTTAGAAGAGCCAACCAGTTTTATAATTATAAAAAGATAAAAATTAATCTAATTCGACTTACCCGGATTACTAGTTCAAAATCCCAACTTGATTTCAACAGTTGAAGCCTTTCAACTCTCCAAGCATCCCAAATTGAGATACTTGAGATGGTTGAGCAAGCATTCTTCTTGTTGAAGGTCGAAATTTCAATAAAGTTTAGACTTGAGAATTGGAGAATGCAGAACCAGACAATCAGCTAATCAAAATTACTTAGATTGTAGAGAATTGAGAATGTAAGAATACGAGAGAGAGAGAGAGAGAGAGAGAAGAGATTAAGTGAATTGTTGAATTGGTGTGATGAGAATGGTGGAGGATAGGGCTATTTATAAGAATTGAACATAATTCAATTACCCAAAATACCCAAAAAACTATATGTTATTTAGTTGTTAGGAGGGGTATTTTGGTCATTGTAAAGTTACTTATAACTTTAGCCAAAATGCCCCCTAAACTAGTTGCTATATAGCTGTTGGGGGCATTTATGTCATTTTTTCAACCTCCATAAGCAAAATACACAAATACCCCCCTAATATGGCTATTTATAGCTGTTAGAGGGGTATTTATGTAACCCCCCCCCCAAAAAAAAAAACTAAAACTAGCTGTTGGGCCCCTTTTGGGGGGGGGGGGGCAACGTCTATATTTTGGGTGGGCCCAGCCTGGCCTGATTTACACCTCTACTAAGGTTTAGAAATCTAAGTACTATACCCCTATTTAACAAATATTTAACAATTACCCTAAGGTTGTTTGGCAATTGTTCTCTTTCTGTCCCACTCAGTTCACATGTGATATTATGTGATAGATACATTCCTTCCTAAAATACCCTTTATGGTCCTACTATATTCTCTAGCAGTCTCCCTCTCCCTCTCCTTATCCGGTTTAGGACTTGTTCATTTCCTCTTCATTCATATCTTTTAAGATGAATCTTTTAACTTGAAGAGAAAATGGTTGTTCATTTCTTCTTATGTGTAATCATACAACTTTTTATTTTCCAAATATACCCCAAAAAGACAAAAAAACCCTCATATATGGGGTCAAAATGGACATTTGATAATTTTTAGAATTCAAAACAATATTCTCTGTATTCAGAGTTCAAGAAAAAAAAAGTTTACCAATACCATATACCTCTTAATGTAACTATTGCACTTTCATATGTAAAACTTCAGAGCAAACAAACAAGCCCTTAGTCTCTAATTCTGATTCCTATTTACTCTTCATTTATGTTTCTGGCTCTGACTCTCTCTGATTCCATTTTTGCCTACCCAATTCCTACTCCCACTCTGACTGATTCTGATTCCAATTCCACCTTCATTTACATTTCCGGCTTTGTCTCTGACTCCAACTTTGACTCTATCTCTGATTCCAATTCTGTATTAATCTACGTCTTGGCTCCAACTTTGTTTTCATCTTTGTTTCCAACTCTGATTCAACTTCGTCTTCGTCATCGAAGAGTTCCACCCAAAAACCTAGAAAATCAACTGGCGACAATTCCCATTGATTAAGACTTTTCAATTGAGATATATGGGTCTGTGGCTTCTTCAATTGGCGGTGTTGTAGGATGAGGATGAAATCACCATATCGCCGATTGTAGGTGTTGTAGCATCTTTAGTTCAAAATGGCGAGTTTTATATAACATTGGGGATTCAGAAGCATTGTGCATCAGAAATGGAAGCTCAGCTATCTTTCCTTATCCTTCAATAACTCCGGTGTGTTTTGCTTTTCCGTTGATTGTTCAACATCTTTATTTAATTGAAGGCTTTCAGCCATCAACCTTCTCTTTTAATCTTGTCCACATACCTCAGCCTGAAACTCAACAAACCACATAAAGCCTCAAAAGATAAACTCAATTGTTAAATGCTAATAAGGCTAACTTTTGGGCCTTAATATCAATAAAAATAATCCTTTTAATATAATTTCTAAAATCAGTTTTTTTTAATATACCAAATAAAGACAAAAACATCGTTCATCTTCTTCTTCCTCTAAACCACCGAATAAATTTCTGTCAACCAGTATAATCGTTCCAAGACACCTGAATTGGGACCTGTTCACTTCAATCCTCTCATTTCCACTAAACTTCCACTTCAATCGCTTAATCTGCAATACCCTTTTCCGATCGACATTAAAACAAAGCTTGGGCTCATCGCCACTCACACTACAATCAATTGAGATGTCTCTGGTCTTGCCTCCAAATCTAGCTCTGTTGTGTAAACCTTGTTGCCAAAAACATGTTCTCTTCTCGAAATCAACCTGGTTTCTTCTATTGGGCTTCCATGTTTTGGTTCTGTTGTATGCTTCCCTCTGAGAATCGCCAACAAGA